GAAGTTTTAAGGAATCATTTACTCAGCGCGCCCCTCTCCCCCACTCTGTCACACTTTGCACCTCCTTCCTTTCCCTCTTGTCTGCTTGACTCCCTTTTGTTCTTTCCCTTTCAACGTGGATGCCAAACTCTGCTTCAAGTTATTACTCTTCATGTAAACCGGAGCTGAAATGTCTGCTGTGGCCTCCAGCTGGCCTGAACCGATGAAACAGATCTGTTTCAACTATTTTCTCCTGTTCTTTGTGAGTTAATGGTTATTTAGCAGAATGACTAATACCCTGGTCAGTGCATGATGTGGCCAGAGTGACACGGTTCTGCCTCGGTTAACGGTCACGGCTGTGTGATTATTGGGCTTCTCCTCACTTTGCTGTGTTGGGGATTTCAAAATGGCTCAAGGTCTCTGATAAGCCTGTGTTGGTTCTCTGTGCTCTAAAGTTGTGAAGTCTCTACTTTATCAGCTAATTCTTACATGACTTTTGGCCTCATTTTATTTGTTTTGTATATGAATCTTAATAAGGAGGTGAGGCCTGTAGGGACCACCTCTTCTTGCTATTAGGAAAAGCAGAGATGGCTAGCTGTGTTTGTAATTTGAGACATGATGTACAATGTTGCCCAATGATGTTTATTTCAGAATGACATAACCTTTTCTTCAGGGATTATCTCAAATTATAGACTACAAATTTGTAACAGAAAGCTTACGTTTCAAACTGCAGTGACAACATGGAGTTTAAAAGAGAATTTACCAAGCAGTGAGTTCTATGAAAAGATCCGATTGGATTGCATTATGGGAATTGTAGGAGCTAGTGCTTTTAGAAGTTGCTTCTATTTGATTTAGTTCCTTTTTTAAAATTTTGTGCTATTACATTTCTGAACTAGATAATTACGCAATATGTTTTTAATATTGATACATGCCTTATAAAAAAAAATGGAAAAATGCTTTCATTTTAGCTTTCAGTACTTTTACTAGGGCAAATAATAGCCATAATAATTTGAATCATCTGTCGACTAATTACCTAATTGTAACTGAACATATAATGAACTGAACATATAATGCTGAAGCTTAAATACGACTGAATTTATAGCACTGAAATATTTTACTTTTAAAACCGTCTTATCTGAATATATGTGGTCTTAATTCCCTTCTTTGAAATGATCAGTAATCCATTTCAAGTTGTGCAATTTCAAAATTCAGATTGAAAGTTCAAGAGGTCAATATTCAGAGGAGAAGAAGATGCATGAGATTCAAATCTTTATTTGTGTTGCTTCCATAACTTTGTAATTCCCTTCGCCCGAGAGGAGAATAGTGGCTGAGGATGTTGTAGGATTAAAAAATTGCACGCTATAGTTGCATGTTTGGCTGGGCTCTGTGGAGACGTACTGAAGCCTATCAGCTGGGCCCATCAGCTGGTGTTTTGTGCCATGTATTTATGAGTCCAGAGCAGGAGTTGCCATGGGAACTACCATTACCCCTCAGGAGTAGCTCCAGTGAATGTACAGTAGCTTGTCCATGAGAAGTGCTTCTGCTGGGTTTTCCAGTTAGGCAGAGGAACAATGAGATCTGTTGAATTAAGCTGATCATGTCTGCAAGACAAGCCCCTCTCCTCTGTTTGTGTGTCTGCTTGGAAAATTCAAATACACACAAATACGCACACACACGTACACAATTAGCCCACAAACTTGATGTCTCTATCCCATGTCTACTCCTTCCATTCTCTGCTTGTCAGTTTTAAACTTACCTCTATCTACTCTGGACACTGAGTGAGGAAAAGGAAAGCAGAGAAAATATATTTAGTATTTTTCTTTTTCCTTACTCCGTTCCTCACATCCTAGTAACACCCCTCCCTTCTGTTCAGCTCTTTAGTCAATGAGAAAGTGAACTCTCCAGTGCTATTTCTTGACAACTGCTATTTATGTCCCTCTGTCAAAGACGTACTTTGTCTGAAGGGGAAACTCCAATGTTGCCTGACCTGCTCTCCACAGTGAAAGATCCTGTCTGGTTAGAGGGCAAGCAGCGCTCAGGGCGCTCCTTCACTGTACACTCAACTGTGCTCTTCAGTCAGTGACAGTCAAACTTGACTCTAGTCATCCTTGGAAGACATTTCAGCTACTTTGCCTTGGGAATACCAGCTGTACTTTATAACACAAAGCACATTCCATTATCTAATCAGCCACTACAGTTCTTCCCAGACAGTGTGGCTGTAAACATTATCAGTGTCACTAGTACGCTAAGCTGAGAGTTGTGGCATTGAGTGAAATATCAATTGGCCTGCCAAAATTTTATTTATTTGTCCAATACTTTTTTATACATTATGACTAAATATCTTCAGCTGTACTTTGTGTTTTAGCAAATGACAACATGCTGACTCACTAAACTAAGTTGGTGAACATGGTAAAAAGCACTGCTGTGCCTCACAGTCCCGCTAGAATGGCTGTTGACTCTTTGTCTTGTTTCACCTCCCAGCGAGGAGCTTGAGTAGTGGGGTGAGATTCATGTTATTGATCCTGTGTTTTAGTATCACCTACTGTTAAGGAGACGCATATTAAGCCCCTCGAGGACACTTTAGTTACTTGTTACACTTTGTAATGTACACAGCTCTGTTTATACTCCACTGGATCTGTGTTTGTGTTTCCACACCAACAATCCGTGCAGACCCTCATGGACATGGACAAAATTTACTCCATGAGCACTAGGAATGTGTGCGATTAGTTGACTAGATGATTAAATCATTTCTTTCATTCAGATTTATTGTTTCCCTTCAGAAGCTGTGATCCCACTTGTTCTGAAAACATAGTACAGCTCACCTTGGCAATTTTGACTGTTAAATAAGTGTTTTCTTACTTTCGGACCAGTCAGCTAGTCAAAATTTAAATTTCCATTCAACAGGGAAACTAGTCATCAGGAACATCCCTAATGAGGACACTCACAGCTGTACAGATGCAGAAACTATGATTTGTGTTTTGGTGTGCACTTGTTTGTTAATTAACCTGTCATTTGCATGAAATTGTTCTTCAGGCTGCAGTCTTTTGGTCTGTGGGAGTAATACATTGATGCTGAAAAAAAACAGACACAAAAACAGGCCATGCAAAATCATCATTCTTAAAGTCTGTCCATCACCTCTGAGCATATCTTCTCCATATCAGTTTTTTTTATTGATCAAACTACACACATCACTGACATCTCTATGGGTTCCATAAACCTGTGATTGGCATGTGTCATTTTAAAAAAAAAAAAATGTATCAACTAAAGAGTTATATGATAAATAGAAAAAGTATAATAACTAATTGTCAGTTGCAGCCCTAGTTTAGATCAGTAGAACAAAGACATGTGAAAGGTAGAGACCAGAGAGTGTACTGTGGCTGAAACTGCAGTGACTCAGACATGAATGTTGGGAGAAGTGAGATGGAGAGATGAGCGGTGGAGAGCTCGAGTAGGGTTGTAGAGAATAGGTGGTGAAATGGGGGTGGAAGAGAGGAGGATTGTTCTGGAGAGAGCTGCAGAGTGAAACTAGAGGTTGAGTTTGGGTTACCTGCCTTGTCTTCTGAATGTTCCTCTGTGGTTGATGACCACAGTATAAAAAATTCTGATGCCTTCATCCTGACTCTGGCATCTCCTAAGCCTAGAGTGGTAGTTTGCTCACAGAATATGCCCATATAAAGATACAGATCCTGCAGTGGAAGCTCTCGTGGAGAAGTTAGTGTGTGTTAGAGGGATCTGTGGGGCTCAGTGTGTCTCTGTCTCAGCATGTGCAAGTTTTCTTCCCTATGACTTGGTCTTTCCGTGTGCTTTATGCACATGTGCATATGCATGGTCACTGTGATACAAAATTGGAGGAGTGAACTCAGTTTACCCAACTCTTTGTTGAGCTGAGGTGAGCCATGCAGCCCTCATCTGGTTACTCTGGGCTGCTCCACTTACCCAGACTGTCAGTCAGGCCTCTGTGGTAACCACGGCCAAAACAATGCAGTGCACATCTCAGGACACTAGAACCAAGATGACAAGAGACTTTTTGACTTGCAGGACAATGGCTAGACCACAATTAGACCCAGACAAACATTTGTCATATATATTTTAGGCTTTTAGTCTAAATTCTTATCTAGAGTCACTTACACCAAATTATGCAACGCTCACATTGCTTGATCATCAGAATTTCGGACGCCATTCTGCCTCAAAGTGCCCCAGTGTAGTAACAATAAAACAAAAACTTGAGGATACATTTTTTCTCATTTGTGTAAATACACATACAGAAAATGGGAACATTTTACTGTTTTCATGGTCATCAAAGGTAATTTCACAGTGAGTGAACCAGGACCTGAGACCATGTGAAAACATGACCAGTTCAGCTGAGCAGCCTGTATGGGTAAAACACAGAGACTGGGGTTAGTATTGAGGTCTGGACTATTGCCTGGGGGCATGATGGTGTGGATTCCTTCACAGTCTTGTGTATCAGCACCAGGGTGTAGGTGGAGAGACAAGGTCAGCCTGTTGCATGGACAGGCCAGTTTATTACCACAGAAATAAGTTATATTAAAAGGCCACAATTTGTCTTTTTTATTTTATTTTGCTTAGTTTGCTCTTAGAGCAGCAGAAGCACTACATGATTATATGATACATTTGATTGTATTTTTAATTCATTCTCAGGTGGAGGTGGGATGCAGCTTGCCTTTATTATTATGCTATTGTGGTATTATGGTATTGACCCATTTTTCAAACAAATGTTATTTTCATTACTTGTTCATTCCAAGCACAGTTTGCCTCATTTAGCAGGTTTCACATTATATCTATATTTTTTTATTCTATGTATTTATATTATATCTTTATCTGCACACAAGAATTATCACCACATCTCATTTTAGTTTTTACTGTAGGTGACTATAATGTTGTATTTTGTTCCTGGGGCTTGGCAAAAGTGGGAAGAGAACTTGTAACTTTTCACCCTATCAGCAATGTAGCATATCTAATTCTGACCACTAACCTTGTATGTCTTTGTCTCTTCCTTTCAGGTACTGGAGAGAGTGGCAAGAGCACTTTCATCAAGCAGATGAGAATAATCCATGGGTCAGGCTACACAGACGAAGACAAGAAGGGCTTTACCAAACTGGTGTACCAGAACATCTTCACCTCCATGCAGGCCATGATCCGCGCAACTGAGACCCTCAAGATCCCGTACAAGTATGAACAGAATAAGGTGTGTACTGTCAAGTGCTGGGGTGAAAATGTTAATGCGTGATCAGTTAATGAAACATAGGTACATCCAAATACTTTCTAGTTTGTGAGGCATGTGTACATTGGTTAGAGACCCAAACTTATTTTCTCCATCAACTCCTTCGTATGAGTAATGGGATCGTACAAGAACAAACTATTTGTAAGATGATGTCATATAGTTTTGTGCACAAACCAGGATTTTGCAACATTTGTTTTAGAATCTGAGGTCAGTTAGAGCGCTGTTTGTTTAGACACGTCACGTTTTTGACTCTCAAAGGAGCACTTTGAAGTAAACAGCTGTTGCTAACATGGGCTATGTAGCAACGGCAAAAACTACATAAAATACATATTGGTCCTTTTTAACGCTTCAATAATAAAGTAACACCTAAAGATATTTTATTTTAATCAATGCTTAGTGTGTAATAGTATTTTTAACCACTGACATGGTTAAACAGGAACTCCAATTTTACACATCAAAGTCTGTCCCCATACAATTGAATCTGGTCTCAGACTTAAGACTTTTGGACCCGACTGTATGTGAAAAGAGGATGTGTAAAGCTTTGAAGGTTTGCGCAAAATCTGATAAATTACCTCAAGTGATGTCACTTAAGTCAGCGTGGGTTGGAGCATGAGGCTAAATTAGCTGCTGCTAGAATAAAACACCCGATTCTGGAACCCATTTGTGGATAGTTTAGGTGCCAGGAAACAGAATGTGTGGAATGAAAAGGGTGATATGTCTGATTCTGCTTATTAATTTGATCTTTTTTTTTTCTTTTTGTCCATTGTGAGACTGACACTGTCATATATCAAATCAGAGGAGTACTCTTTTACTCGATTTACTCAGATTAAATGATTTCACTTTAACCAAACAAGAGTCCTCTCAGTAATGTAAGAGCTGTCATGATGCACGATGATAAATGGTGGCCGTTAAGCTATGTTTCACTATGTTGTGGGTGGGTTGGGTGAATCAGTTACTACTTTCATTTACGTTTCAGCCTTTCAGTTGAATGACTTGAATTGTAATTGGTGAGAAGTTTTTGTGTCTTCCTCATGGTGACAAATGACTTCATTCAAGCAACAGAGGCCACTCTGTGTCTTAGTGTGAATTCTCAGTCGGTCTCCTATGAAATGCCGGGCTACTGTCAGCATGGCCAATAATCACTGTGCCTGACTGCTCAGTCCAACACTTGTGTGTCCAGTTTATCTCATGCAAACCACATTTAAATTGGTCATAAATCTGGTAGTAAAATAAGATGTAAAGTAAATTGAACTGTTCTTCTCCAGTGAAATATAGCCAGTGAGAATTTACCATTATATCTAAATGAAAAGGACATTTTAAAAGTGGGGATGTACACTTAATTGAATGTAGCACTACAGAGGTTGCGATTGTGTTCACTACATGAATATATTCCTCAGGATTTTGAAAATCAAACACTTGGGGATTTGGAGATATGTTGTATTTGGACAGCATTACATGTGGATTTCATTTCACATAAAATCCAAAAGCACTGTGTCCAAATGCTGTTGTTCAAAGTTTTCTCTTTTGCTTTGTTACTTTTCTCTTAGAATAATGCCCAGGTGGTGCGCGAGGTGGACGTCGAGAAGGTGTCATCATTCGATCAGCCGTACATCGGCGCGATAAAGATGCTGTGGGCTGATCCTGGCATCCAGGAGGCCTATGATCGCAGGAGAGAGTACCAGCTCTCCGACTCAACCAAATAGTACGTCTGCAATGAATGACTGGTTATTTAGTTTATGTGTAGAAATGGCGAATTAGTCTCAAACTTTTTTTTAGTAGTTTTCTGACTGTTACACTCAAGCAGAGGAAGGGAAGCGAGTTCTTGCAGATGGGGAGAGCCAGGAAAAAGAGGTAGTGTTGGCAGGTTTATAAACGAATCATAATAATATCACAGAAACCTTCATCAGTCCATTTCAGACTAATGTGGCTCTTTAAAAGGAAAAATGAAAAGACTGAAAGAATTCAACTTTATGCATAGAAGTATTTGTGTATTTTTTATGAGCTCCTGCTGCCTGTATGCATGTTTATTTTGTAATTGTATGTTTTTGACAGAGAGCAATTGTTTGGGTGTCTGTACTTATCATATAAATGTGTGCAGTTTGCCTACATGTGCATCTCTGTCATATGTTCCCTCCCCCTCCACAGTTACCTTAGTGATTTAGAACGAATAGCAACACTGGGGTACGTGCCCACTCAGCAGGATGTGCTACGGGTTCGAGTACCCACCACCGGCATCATTGAGTACCCATTTGACCTGCAGAATATTGTTTTCAGGTACTGGCGTCAAGTGCTGCCGATGATGTCACTGGCTGGCTAGCTGCTTGACAGTTGGTCAGTCAGTTGGAAACCGTCGATGCCGCTATGTCCATCTACCCTGTGCTGCACAGCAGGGCTCAGCACTTTAACACATCCCTGATGGTGCACTCTCAAAGACTGGCCTCAAAAACAGGCCCCAGCCCTCCTGTCAACACTCACTAGAAAGGCAGTTTTATTTTCACCCGGACAGTCAAAGTTGGCCTCTTCGTGCTAAATCATCAAGTTAAAGGTTCCTGCTTCCCTTAAACATGCAAACCTTCACAATGAGCACTTTGAGGGGGAGCAGAGGGTTGTTTTTGTCTTTGAGAGCTTCCATCAAGGATGAAGCTAAATTTCTAAGAGAAAATTTGTGGGGTGATGGTACTAAATGGCACCTAATCCCCTCATAACTCTTGGGAAAGTCTTTTGTTACATCTGGACTGTTCCACTTGCTTTTGGAGGGGGTGTGCTGTATCTGCTGTTATGCTTCACTTTCTCTTTCCTCCCTATGTCTTTTGTTGTCTTTCCTGTCTCTAGCTATCTAAGTGATCTGGATCGTATTGCTGAACCATCCTATCTACCGACCCAACAAGATGTGCTTAGGGTTCGAATCCCAACCACTGGGATCATAGAATACCCTTTCGACTTGCAAAGCATCATTTTCAGGTAGAAGAAGAACTACACTATTTTTACTAATCCCAGTTTTTCATTCATTTAAAAATCCAAAAGGCTCTCTGAAGTCTGAATCAACATGTTTCTGTGTTTCCTACAACGTGTTATGCCCCCATCTGTGCATTTAAACCCAATGTCTAATTATGTCTCCAATCTATTTTGATATTTACAGTTCATTCAATGTGTATTATTGCAGTAGATTCTACCAAAGCTGAAATGATTAGTCAATTAGATTATCAACAGAAAATCTGTTTTGATAATTGATTAGTCGTTTAAAGTTATAAATCTTAAGATTTAAGTTCAGGTTGATTTTTGCGACACCCATGGTTACCATGGTAACAACAAGTGTGGTTTAGTACTAATGCAGAACATTCCCTGAGCATCTACTTTGTCAGAAACACAACAGAGGAGTAACTGGTGTATTCGTTTACAGCACAGCCAAACAATTTTGGTGTGTTGATAAAGAATTACAACCATGATCTGATTTCATGCTGCGCACAGTGCAGTGTGTTTTCCACACATTTGTTACATTTCTGAGAAGATGGAGGTGTACAGCCTTTCACCTGCAGTTCATCATCTAACAGCTCACTGTGGCTGCTCCTTCTTGTTCTGCTACTGCCTTGTAAAAATATATCATATATCAATAATAATCATCCCCCTGAAAAAATAATTGCTGAAAATGACCATTGTATTGTTTTGTAGATGCCTGTGAAATTTCTTAACAATAAAAGCCTCCCTATTTTTTAACCAGTAGCATGCTTTTAATGTGAAGCTGCAGCAGTATAATGTTCTGTTTGCATTAGCAATAATTTAATACAGCTTTGTTATTAAGAGAGTGAACAGCGAGGTCATTGTCAAAAAAAATAAAAATTGCACCAGATTAAAAGCATGCATTGTGTCCTATGAATCCGTCATGCATAGGCGGGCAGTCTGAATCCCAAAAAAAAGCAGTTCAAGCAGAAATTCCAAGCAAACATTCAGGAGTTACAGTCTTAATGTTTTTTTTTTTTGGGGGGGGGGGGGGGGGGGGTGTTGGCTTATGTGATAGTGGACCATCTTTGGGTTTTGGACTTCCAGTGGGATAAAAAAGCACCATGATCACTTTGAGCAATTTTGATCGGCATTTTTAACTATTTTCTGACAATTTATAGATCAGACAATTAATCCAGAAAATAATCGGCAGATTAATTGATAATGAAATTTTTTTTATTGTAGCCCTAGTTTCTATATGTATCTACATTATCACTCAACTTCAGTCTGTTATTTGGCACGATAAAAACAGGCCTTGATAATGAGTAATTGTATATGGATGCTTCATAAAGATTCCCAAGCTTAAAAGGTTGGGAACATGCAAACCTAGAAACTAAAATGCTCATAAAAGGCAGTATTTGTATGTGATAGTCCCAGCTTTTCTGTGTTGCCCAGAGACACATAGCGACAGGATTTGGCACAGAGACAGTCGTAGGACCTGCCATCAATACGCAGAGCCCTTCCCTTCTTCCTTCTCTTGCAAAAAAGAGAGAAGATGAGGAGATAGAGATGGACCCATGGAACAAGAGTGATTACAGAAGAGTGCAAATCAATAGGAAGCCATCATGTCAGCCCCCTCCTACGCTTGGCAAGGCTAGAAATAACTCTGCTTGCAATGACGTTGTGCTGAAGAGGTTCCCAGCTGCCCTGCTGCAGCTAGCCGATAGGCTCTACTCTGCTTGGTTGGGTTGTGCTGCTGAGGGTGAATCACTACATCCTCTCAATGACATCAATTTTGTGTTAAGAGACCAAAAATCCAAATATGTACTGGGAGTGAATGTGAGGTGTCAGGCTTTATCGAAAGAAGAGCATGATTATTGAGGTTTCTCAATTTCGTGATTTGTGTATGTGTTGTCATATTCTTGTATTTAAACATGGAGCACACTTGATGCAGGACGAGAAGTCCCCCAGCCCAATATGTGGATAGTAACAAGCACATGTGGGATTAAACCACTTCTGCTTGCAGCTGACAGGGCCGTAGCCGCAACAAGGAAGCCTTTCATAGACAAACATCTCCATTAGGCTTGCTTCCTTCTCTTTTAATTGGCTTTTGAAGTCACAGAAAATGTCATTTCACTTGGCTTATCCAGCATAGGAGAGCTTATCGTACTAAGTAGGTCACTCATCCTTGCTAGAGGAAAAAAAGGAGGTCGTCTGATGTGAAGGAGTTTTATTTTAGGCCGGCTCTTCTAGAGGACTCCATTTATCAATGCCTTCCCTCCTTCTGGCAGACTTACTGACTGAGTTCACCTTTGTGACGTGTGATCAAACTTCCACTGTGTAGTTGTAGAGTGATATTGAGTACTTAGTGAAGTTATCTGTGGAATTGAAACTTAAACTCACATAACTGATGAGTAGTCAGAATTTTTTCAGTTTCTTTATTTTTATTTTCTGTCGCAGTTTAATTAGTTTAAATGGATAAACCAATCAACCAATTTAATATCATTAATGTCCATGCGCTTGTTTTAGTAATTCAAGGATAAAACTCAGTTGATCAAGGTCTTTAGCCACAGAATCAAACCTGTATAGCATGCCTTACAAGCCTTTGTTTTATTTTCTTGCATTCTTCAGTGCTTCTTCCCTCATTTCCCAACTCTTTTACATTCCTTTTTCCTCCAACCATTCCTTTTGTCCTCCTCCAACCTTTATCTATTGCTCCACTTATTAATCCCTCACATTTAGAAACCTTTTATTGGCACTTCTAAACATGGTAATATTTAGCAGATTTACTTTATCTCTTACGTGGACTCTCCAGCATCTGCTTTGAGTAGAGGGGAGAGAAGGATGGCATTGTTTGTACACACACATACACTTCCTTGTAGTTATTTTGGTTCACCTAAGGGAAGCTTTGCTCTGTCCTCTCTGTGATTCACGCTGCAGATTCTCTGTTCACGTTTTTTCTCTTTTATATTCTCAGTGCAAAAAGGGTGTTTGGCTTGAACTACACTAGACTCTTTAGATATTATATTGAAGTAATCTTCTGTCTGTCAGACCACAATTGCCCTGAAAATATATTGACTGGCCACGACTGGAAGCTTAGTGTAACTGAAAATAAAGAAATTTAAGTGAAATTTTTGCAAAGTGAGTGTGTCTTTGCACTGATAAATTTTCTTCTGGAAAATCACTCTTCTGTACTGAAGTGACTCAGATCCTTGGCTTGTTCCTGTATGAATCACTTCAGGGTTTCCTCTGTAGTGGCTCTGTTGCAAACTTTAAAACAATTAAAATTAAATGTAATGTTTGATTTAGATTTGGGACATTTTTACATGATATTCTGTGGTTCAAGTTTAATTTGTTTGACACCCATGTTAGTTCCAAAGATTTAGCAAAAGTTAAATCTTTGTTATGATGATTAAAATGCATGCTCATCTTTTAACTTAACTTCTAAATTGATTAAGTGCTAATTGTAATTTCTCTTTCTTGTCTTTTTATGTGATTCTTTTTGGCCAACCGTTTGGCGGCCCTCCATCTCATCTCATCATGTTCCAATCAGGATGGTGGATGTTGGGGGTCAGAGGTCAGAGAGGAGGAAGTGGATCCACTGCTTTGAGAACGTCACTTCCATCATGTTCCTGGTGGCGCTCAGTGAGTACGACCAGGTCCTGGTGGAGTCAGACAATGAGGTGAGACAGAGACACGGAAATAACTGTGATTTCAGAATTGTTGAGTGCGTACACAACATTCAGCACATTCATACCAAGGCTTCAAGTCTAGATGTATTCACCTTCTTGAACAGCGTGCTGAATTTCTTCCTGCTGAAACTGGATATTCAAACTTGATTCGCCTGGACACGTTCACAGTTAAACAGTTGAAAGCAGCTGTATTCAGCAATAAAGCAACCTACAATAAACTCACTTAATGCTACCTGCCAAGCACGAAGGCAAAGTTAGTAAGTAGTTGGTGAACGTAGTGGAGCATTTACTTTCTAAAGAGCCTGATATTTCCATCAAGAGTTGAGAGACCAAAACAGAGCTAAAAGAAAAGTGAATGTTAGCCTTGAATTCATCAGGTGGCCGGTAAACACATCTCCAAATAGAAATAAAGGAATACAACCTCAGCTGTCCTGCCGGTTTGTGGTTAACGGCAACTTTTATGCAATGAAAATGTAATTTTACAATTTCTGTATTCTAGTGAACGACTAAATATCACAGTCACTAAAAAAACATTTTTTATTAGAGCAAATCAGTAGGTCAGCACCACTGATGCTGCCCCTGCAAACACAAACACACAGTAATGTATCGAAGAGTCTCTCACAACAATCAGAATAGAGGTCCTCTTTCAGTTTACTCCACAGATACTTTGTTTGCCCATGTCGTCGGCTCTGTCTCCTCTGACTGTTGAGATAGAATTATCGCTAATAGAGCTAATGAGATCAGCCCCTGCATGCCCTCTGCTCCTCTCCTGACAACAAACCCTTTCTCTGACCTGGTCATAACTGGGTTTCATAAACCAGGCCCAGCTGCCAGCTTGACTCACTGTATCTGCTGTACATCACTACAGCTTCATAGTCGACATTTTACCAGGGTTGATATTTGTCCACTCAGTTTGTTGATTACACACGCATATACTGTACCTCATCTGCACTGGGCCTGCTCAGGTGCGATGCCTTATTGAACACACAAGGACAGGAATATGTTTTCATTCTTTTCAGGTTGTCATTTATTTGCTTTTCATGCTTGTGATGTGTATATGGTCACACATATAACATATGACACCATTGTTAAACTCTGTTTCTTAACGGTTGATGGCTGAGACAAGGCTAGTCACCGTTCAGGCTTCACAGTCTGCTGAGATTATCCTTTCGTGGTGACAGGCTCAAGACCAAGACTTTGACCAGTCAGAGCCTGATGAGATTGTTTTCAAACATCTTTGATTTCAGCGGGTCAAGTCTGGCCAGGATGATATTACAACTTGCCAAGACGAAACCGCAGGAGTGATGCTGGCAAGGAGTTTAAATCAGGAAGAGGAAGAAGCGTCATGTTTAACAGCAGTTCTCAGCTTTAAGTAGTTTACCAGGCTTCCAACTCCACTTGTTTCACTTTTTATGTTTGCTGGACAGTTTTGTTGAAGCAACAAATCTTACATTAGGAACAGGACTGGAGCAGTTAACATAAAGGGAAACGTGTCATGTGATTCTTGAGTCTTGGTTTCTCTTCTGTTACTGCAACACCATGTATTCACCACAATGCTGTATTCCAGCTGCCACACCATGCCATTCAGTTATATCCATCACTAAGCTAATGTTTGTGTGTCAAAAAAGCACTTTGTCTGACAAACGTAAAAACACAGTATCTGATATAACCTGAGTTTTATTTTTATTTATTTATTTATTTATATATATATATTTTTTTTTTTCCCCCTATGCCCTATGAAGGTTTAAATGAAAAAATGAGCATGTTAGCTTTACTAACTGGCTATTGATTGATCACAGCTAAGTGATGCTAGCAATGTAAGCAACCAATAATAAGATAAAGTAAAGTATCATATAAAAGCAGGTTTAGCTGCTTTTTTGTTTTGGTTGGCATTTGTCTTTGAAGAGAAACTCAATGTTGGTTTCACTTGGCTGCATTTTTATTATCCCTGGTTGTATTTTTGCTGCTGTCTGGATTGTTGCTTGTTTATTTTTTAATGAACTTCTAGTATGGCAGCAATTCAAAGACCCCCGTGCCCCTCCACCCAAAACAGAAGTCGACCAAAAAACGGCCCATGGTTAAGTTTTAGTGGAAATCACTCAGGCTCTGCTTGTTCTGTTATTAGCTCTATTCAGCTGCATCTGCAAAGTTTCATCTAATACAGATACAGATAGACAGCAAACAAAGTCAAGGTTATGCCTGCAACATTTTTGCATTCATAGACTCAGCACCAGTAATGTAACTGGCAGACGTGCACCAAACACAGACACACAAAACACTCCTCAGTTTTGAGGCTGCTAATTGAGTGTTAGCCCAGAGTTCTTTAGAAGTTATCCTTGAAATCAAATGCACACCTTGTAATAAGTTATGTAATATGAATATTAATATATATTCTGTACATGAAATAATAAAACCCCTGTTTTAATAATTGCATTTACAATGAAGAGTGAAGCACGCAGAATTTGAAAAGTCTTGTATTCTGAATGTAATCTAACCTTGTGTTTCTTTTCTTGTCCCTACCCCTGTCCTCCTCGGCCCGTGTCAGAATCGTATGGAGGAGAGTAAAGCTCTGTTCAGGACCATCATCACATATCCCTGGTTCCAAAACTCCTCTGTCATCCTCTTCCTCAACAAGAAGGACCTGCTGGAGGAGAAGATCATGTATTCTCACTTGGTTGACTACTTCCCAGAGTTTGACGGTAATTTGATTATCCTTGATTATTTTTTTTAATCTTTAGTTCATTAATAGCTCTTAATAGCATTATAGATTTCATGTAGTCTCCATGTCCCTGAATAGTTGTGTATTATAGGACCGTGCTGTTAGCTGAGTCTCAGAAGTGAATTCAATTTAATTATCCATACAGGTGAGAAGTTGAGACATCGGTCAAACCCTGGCTCTAATGCTGTGGCTGTGTTTTCTTTGCATGTTTTTCTTTGTTTGTTCTTGTCCCCAGACAGACCCTTTTTTTTTTTTTTTTTTAATGGCCCTATGCCATTTTCAAGATTAAGCTTGCTGGTTTTTGTCATAACATTGAAAGTGGCTGTGTCCCAACACTGTCAGCATCAACATCTGCACACACACTTTTTTCACTCTCAATCTCTAACTTTATCTATGCAAGGTCCTGTCACTTATATTTTTGCTTGTAGAGCGACATCTTCTGGTTATAATGTTGTACTACAATGTAACCTGACATTCAGCTTGAAGTGTGACTGAACACAGCAGTTCTCAGTTCTTCTTTTTGGCTTTCGACCATATAAAATAAAAGCAATACCTACTCACCCCTTCATCATAGTCATATCTAGAATCAGCACACGTCATCCAGAAGAATTTTTTTTCCTGTTTAATCATAAGGATGCTCATATTTGAACCCGTACTGGGAAATGCAATTACAATTACATAATGTTAATTTGACACTAAACAACAATAAAGGCTCAATGATGCTAATACGATGCCCCGTAAAAGCTAAAAGTAGTGGTCTATTCTTCTCCTAGGTCCCCAGCGAGACGCTCAGGCGGGTCGAGAGTTCATCTTGAAGATGTTTGTGGACTTGAACCCAGACAGTGACAAGATCATCTACTCCCATTTCACATGCGCCACCGACACGGAGAACATCCGTTTCGTCTTTGCAGCGGTCAAAGACACCATCCTGCAGCTCAACCTCAAAGAGTACAACCTGGTGTGAAGGAGAAACGGAAAGAGAGGGAGAGAGGGAGAGAGAGATAGCAAGCAAGAGACCTGCAGCCCCACACACACACACACACACACACACACACACACACACACACACACACACACACACACACACACACACACACAATGCAGAGTCCATTTGTAGAAACACACATCTGCATGGAACATGCTGCTGCTCAAAGAAATAAGCATTGCTTAACACTTTATCTGACCAACAATAGCCATGTTCTGTCCTTCATTCAGCCCCTCAGTTGTTGGTTTGCCCTTTTTTTTTTTTTTTTTTTTTTTTTTTTTTTTTAAATAATTTGTTTTGTGGTTCTATTAATTGCTTTTCTTGCACAAACACACATGAAACACACTCAAACACTCCCTCCATTTGTCCCCCTCTATTTGGGGCTTTGGTCTGCTCCAGGGCACTTTTTGGTTCTCTTTCAGCCCTTGGCGTGGCGCACATTTTTTCTTTCTTTCCACTACTTTATCACCAGTGCTTGTGTGTACGAGGTGGGTAGAGGGCCTTCTCTGGGTAGAGTAAGTTTTCACGGACAAAGGGCTCTCTCCCCTTCTTCCTATTTAACTCATGCATGCTATACACTACAGAATGAGGCCAGGCTGCAGATCTTGGACTGTGCTCATCTGCAAAGGGTAACTAATGATGATGATAGAAATATATTATCAGGCAGTGCTGGTGTGCAGTGAGGTACTTGGTTCCCCGTGGGTCTTGAATTGTGCATTTTTATTTGCTAACCTTACCCCAAACCAGAGCACAGGAGCTCTGTTGAATGTAAATAAAGTTTTCATGCTGCTCACACAGAGTGAGGGCTAGACAGAGATGACTATTAAGTTCTCTGTAGACTTTAAATATTAATTACTATATTAATTACATGGTTACTATTGTTCTCCAGTTAAAATTGAAGATGATTACACAAAGAAATGCAACGCTCCGGAAAGAGTCACAACATGTTCCTTATACACTGCCCCTCATTTTAAACTGCTAACATACATCGTGAAACAAAAAATTAAGAGACAACACTTGTAGTATTCACATATTTTATATCAACTTCGCCAAATTCAAAACACATACGTTTGTTGTGTAAATATAATTACGTTGCCAATATCCTGTTCATCCCTTAAGTGGTTCAGATACTAACAAAACATATTTGGGAACTGGTATTGCCAAAAGTAAGTGCGAATTTTCTCTCATGGTAGATCATTCAGATGTTGATGGCATAACAACTCACTTTGTGTGGCATTTCTTTTATGTGGACAGTTGTCTGAAACACACATGTATTGGTACTGTGATTTATTTTCTTTGTTTCCTTCGATGGTGAGAATAATCTTCCTGTGCACAACGTGTGAATGATGATACCAGATTAGTACGGTGCAATAGTCAGTTGTAGATGAAATAAAGCTTTTGCGCTGCCAGTTAGCTTCACGTTGGTCTTGATCATCCAAATTTCTTCTCTCTGTAATCTCTTTTTTTTTTTTTTTTTTGTATGTCTAATTTATCAATCAGATCTACATATTGTTGACACAGTAAATGAGACTTCCTCCCTAGTTTCAGCGCAAAATTTTTCCAACCAAGGAGATGGGAGGAGATTTTATACTGCTGTAAAATATCAAAACTATTTTATGGACAAGTGGTCTATCTTTCTAATGATAATTCATGTATTTAGTTGTGGCAGTTCTGTTTTGAAATGCTTGACAATGGAAAAACATGTCAGGTTTGTGCTTTATGCAAATAGGAAAATGAAAACAGACAAAAACTTAGTTGTTAAATATTTACTGTTCAAGGATGCTTGCATTTTTTTTTTTTTTTTGTAATTTCGAAGGATATGTGTTGGCTCTGGTACCAATCCCATATCGTGTCTCTTGCCTGATAGTTGTTTAAATATTCCATTAAGCTGAAAGTTGATAGATGGCTATTTTTGTCTTCACAATGTAATTCAGGTAAGTTTTCATAACTTTTTCATCACAAGGGCTACTACTAGCAGCTTTGGTAGAAATGAAAGGTCTCTGTGGATGGCATAGAGCAAAAGGTGAAATTAATCAACGAGGGGTGGGAGGGGAGTGTGTCGACATCCTTTTGAGGGTGATGGCCGCAGGTTAAGTGAGGGAGGAATGCAGCAGTCTGCAGAAGCCTACATGATATTCCCGAGGGAAGTCTGGTGGCTGTTTGGCTCTTTGTTCGCTTTCTTTTTGCCTTTTAGAGAAGGAGAATGGCTAATGTCAAAAGAAGCGGGGTTTCCCAAGGTGCAAAAGAACATTTTTAGATTTTTAGTGTCCGAGTTATCGCACCTAAACATCCTTTTTGCTCGTCTCATGACTTGTGTGCTGATCTTCTTGGCTTTACAATCATTTCTGCTATGTATTTCTGCATATTTGGCTTATCTTTTCATTGGTAGTGTTTCCACGATTGACTTTGGCATTCCCCCGTGTTGGAGTCAGAAAAAAAGGGAGTGCTGGGACATTTTGACTTTTTGTGCACATTTAATAAACTGGGTCGGATGAACATAAAAAAAATGATCACTTATCTTTAATTGTTTGCCAAAAGGTTAACACATCAAATTTTCTTGTGAATTTTCTATAGAACATACGTGTGTTCTACCTGCTTAGCCTTGATTTTATCTAGATGTACCCTGTGAGAGTAATCCTTGCAACTCTTGCACATGTGTACATTGTGTTGGTAAAGCTGTTGTCTTGTACATATAGACTTGGTTTATTATGAAACACTTAATGAAGGAGGGACATGCATAATTATGCTAAGTGCCACATTTTTTTTATAAGTTGAAAGGTGTTAAAAGGCTCTGGCTTTGTCAAAGCAAGTTTAGTCTGGCTCTGATCTTGTTTATTCAGCTTGTATTGGTAAAGGGTTTATCTTTGGTGCTTCAGCCAACATTTAAAAGCCTTTCCTTGAGCAGTTTTTCCCATTTTTAGGGTGAAGCTTTGCACACTCACACGCTAGCAGAGGTTAATATTGTTGGTGCCACAATTCAGCACACTTCAGTTTGAAATTAGGAGCTCATGTATTTTGATGTGAATGAATAAACTATCCGACAGACTTTATCTGAGTTTTGAAAGGAATATTGTGTTCTGCTTCACTGCTGGGAAAACACGGTAACACTATCGTGTGTTTTTTAAAAACTCTCAGCTTGGCTTTCAGGGAGCACAGTCCATTCCCCTGAACTGTAGCTGACCACCTTAAGAGCAGATGTGTGGCCCCTTAAACTTTATTCTCATGTAGATGATTTATTGTCTGGCGAATTAACTTGAATGGGCTACAGTGAGGATGATGAACAAAATGAAGGTGACTGCTCCAGGACCAGAGTCGGCATGATGACGCACTTCTATAAAAACTTTGTTGCATCAGTTTTCACTTTCTAACAATATTTTTGGACTTCATGCCTTGTCTGGTTATAACAGCACCAGAATCCACACAGAAAAAGTCACATGGCTACACTACCAGTGATTAGAGCCAGAGCAGAGCTGGGTCAGTTATATAAAATCCTTTCCATTGATCTGTAGTGTATTCACTTTATCTCCATAGAATGCAAGTTGGAGAAAGTTTGTACGACAATCTAGTACAAAACACTGTGCCAAGCAAAATCAATCCGCAAAAGAAAAGATATAAAAAATTAAACGTTTGTAGTAACTTGACCCAAATCTGTGGTAAAATTATTTAAACTTTTGTTAATCCACTTTTACAGAATGGTTTTGTTTTTTCAAATGAAGCTTGTGTGTGAAGCCTCAGTATTAATGTATTTATTGAAACACTCGCCAAGTGAAGGTACTGAAATGGCCATTATAATATTTTGGTGGTTATAATAACAAGTGAGTGAATATGCTGTGTGTTTACATGTCCGCCATTCTCCACTCTGTTTTTTTCCCCCCTTACTTGATTGGACTGTGTATTCTTTCCCTGGGTCGAAGGCACTGAAACTGCACCACTGCAATGGGCCTGCATTCATGCAACTTAGATGTCCATTCAAGCGCGCTCGTTGGTACTCTAAGCTGTGTGTGTGTGTGTGTGTGTGTGTCTGTCTGTCTGTCTGTCTGTCTGTCTGTCTGTCTGTCTGTCTGTCTGTCTGTCTGTCTGTCTGTGTGTGTACACTTTTGATGGCTATTGCTTATGCTTGAGATCCATTCTGGTTAGAAGGATGGACATCAGTGATATTAAAAGCTATCTTTGCATCTTTTTTTTTTTTTCTTTTGTAAGGTTGACACACCTTAACACGTGTATTTAGGACCACTTAAGATGACTTTTTTAAAAGAGTTAAAATAAACTTTGTGTAGTGGTGTACAAATTGAAAGTAATGTATTTTTGTTTGATTTTTTTCTTCTTTTTTTAAGTATACCAAATGTAAATTATGTACAATGAGTGTGCCAATCCCCTTTCTTTGTAAAGCCAGACTCTTAACAAGTGCCAATGTTGTGAAAAATCAGAGGGCCTGTGAATTTCATGGTCCAGTTTTTAAAACAAATAAACACTAAGTATGTGATTAATTAACGAAAGAAAGGACAATTTTATTCTATATTTAAGATTAATAATGAACTGCTGTTTTTAAGATAAATGTCATTTTAACTGCATGTGTTTGTCAGGTTGGGGAGGGAGTGGGTGGGTGAGATACTGTATTCATGCAACACCCTCATGAAAAGGGTTCTAATGGTTATTGATTTACAGTATTTTAGCCATATTTCTCTTTTGTATGTTTCATTTCAACCACTGTTGCCTGAACCTCATTCAAACATGAAAATGATTTTCATAGCCTTCTCCTTTAAATGTTTTAAATTGGAATAAAATATGTTCCTATACTCTCTCATTGCATCCTTGTACATTTCCTTTGGAGTGGAATAGTTTTCTTACAGATTGTGATTAATGGTCCATACCACCTTTTATGCCCATTAATAGAAAGCATGTATACTTCATATTGCTGCCAAAATTTTTCAGAGCATAACTGTTTTTCTTACCTTTCAATGAGCTGCTGGTTTGCCTTGGTACTACATTTAATGGAAATGAATTTAGACTCTGGAGCAACTCAATTCTCAAAAAAAAATGTATTACTTTAAAGATGGGTCACATTAGGTTAACTCCAAATAGCATTTGTCAGGTTTTTGTAAGAGATCTGGCTCTAATTTGTAAAAGAGTTTTCAAAGCAAGATGAAATGACCAACAGAGCTCCATACAAGCAGGATCATTTTTGTGCAAATTACAGGTGTATTATACAAAAATGTATATTCAGCCATCTTCAGCATCATGGCAAAATATGTAAAACTGCATCAACAACTACACCTTTAGCCCTGAAGACACTGAAATCATGTCCTTGGTGATATTTCTAGGAATTGGGGGGATATCGTGACATAAGGGGAGTTTATTTCTACAATTATACACATATTACATGTGTTTGTTTTTAAAACCTTATTCTGATAACATTTTAATGCTAAATATCTTACAACATGATTGAAATGAATTTCATACCTGGTAGCACAGAGAAGACTTTGAAACAAAAAACATTTGGCCCATAATGTATGGTAATTAAATTTATAGCAAATATAGTCCAACAGTTAAATGAATAATCATCATCATCTATAGTGTCACTTTGTCATTTGCTACATTGTTATTGTAATGATATATTATAAAGATATTGATTAAAGTGACTTTTAATACTCAATAAATAAATAAAATGCAATTTGGTAGGTGGCCAGTCCAAAGTTTGGGTGTAGTTACCAATTTGTCTAAAATCCTTGCTCAGACCAAATACGGATACGACTGATGCAGGTGCTGATAAATACTTCTAACTGGCAAACTAAAAAAACACAAACAGTCTGCAACTGTGCTTTAGTTAGACTTTTTTACAGAGCAGCATGTAGTTTTGTCTAAAGGTTCTCACAATCATTTTGACAGAGCTGACCGTAGTCTTCTACAGCCATAAACTGTGAAAAGGGGCTCGTATTAGTGGGATTACTTTAATGTCTTTATGGGACGTGGTTTCTGTGAGATAAGAGGAGGCTGGGGTGAAGTTATGGCTGCCAGTGCACTCCTCCTCTGACTGTGAGGCTGTGCGGTGACCTGTCCACAGGAGGCGCTAGCAGCTCAGACATCAGCCGGCTGACGGGGTAGATATGCGGTGTGTAGATCTGCGCGGCACCGCGGCGCTCACCGCTCATCTACCCGCCGTGTTTCTGTGTGGGGCGTTCAGCTAAGCAGCGTCGTGCCTACCTACCAGCTCCAGGAATGGACTGACTTTCTGGCTTCACCAACACTAACAACCTCACTCTGTTTCTCCAGGACTGCACTGTTCAAGGGATAAACGTTCAGAGTCTGGGAAAATTTCAATTTGAAGTTGTTGTTTTTTTACCGTATGGGCGACAACACAGATTATTTGTTGCCACTGGGATTCAGTTGAGACGAACCCGCAGACATTTTGTTATTTCTGAGAATTAGACTGTTTTTTTTCATCTTACTTTCTCATCAGTACAGTCGCAGCTGGCTGAGGAGCGCAAACTGAAAGCTTTGAAGGGCCAGCAGAAGACGAAGGAAGAAACCATTACCATCCGCCAGCTAGCTTCATCCTAAACACCGCTGTGTTCATAACGTTATTAATTTACCCGCGTTTAGCTCGCATCGCTGCCGCTGCCGCTGGTGCGTTGAGGCGGAAAGCTCGCAAAAGCGATGAATCATTTTGACGGACAGCTTTTGAAGAATTAGCTAGCTTAGCCAGTGAGGAACCAGCACTGATTGTGGTTTCCTGATCACAGTCACTGTAAATACGGGGTCGGGACAGGCACAGCCGAATGGTCTTGCATCACCCAGACAAGACACCGACTCTTCTACCTCGCTAACGGCGGCAAAGTGCATCACTTATATACAGCTTAAATTTTTTTTTAGGGGGGGTCGCTAGCTACCGTTAGCTACTCACCCTGCTAACGCTGGACAGCTCCTGTTTAAGGCTGGGCTAGCTTTGGACAAAGGACCAACGCAAGGAAAAAATATAAACACGGGGTACACTGTTAATCGTGTTTGGGAAGGAGAGCAACAAACAAGGAACTGACATGATGTTTCCACAATCAAGACACTCAGTAAGTGGCTTTTAATGTGACATTTACTATGAAATAGGTGCTTTCTCCAGCTGATTTATCAAATGAGGTTATTTAAGCAGGGAAATTACGCATGCAACTTGTATTTTGACAGTATGTTGAAATTCAGACAGAGTCATCATGAAATGTTGGGGCTTTTTGGACAGAAGTAGCTGACGTTGGTTTATAAACGCAGTGTTTAGTTCTGGTAAGTTCTGCAGTAGTGTCTGTAGTGATCATGACATAGAGAGAAAGCATTTTTGTTTTGGCTTGACACTGTCCCAACTTTTCCCAGATGATGCCATTGAAATCATCCTCCAAATCAAACAGCTCTAATGAATACTGTCCTATCTCACAACCAACTGATTTTTACACCCCTGTGTCAGTTTAGTTTCAGTTTGCCGCATTCTCCAAAATGCCAAAACCAGATATGTACTAGCTGTAGTCCTGCTTATAACATTTCTCATAAAGGGAAACAAAATTGAAGTGGTGTTGTTATGTCATCACGTGAAGCACTCACAATACACTGTACACTATTCTGTGCAGGTGGGTGTCTTTATGACTGGAAAAGGCACACATCTCTGTTCCCCTAAATCTCAAGTTTCCATGGTAACAGAAACTCAGTTCAGGGCATGCATTCATCACTGATGAGGGCTCACAGCCCATTGGTCATACATTTATGTTTAGTGACTGGCAGCCAAGGACTCAAATTGAATTGTTTACATTTTTTGCTTGTACCCAGGCTTAAAATGACAAATGAAGTCAACTCCATCATGCACGGTCCCATAAGAAACTGAAATGTGGTGACCTTCTTGTATTTAAACCTGCTAGTTTTGGTTGACATTTCACTTTTCTCCTGCAAAGGCAAATATAACAAAGAGGTATTTGTGTAAGTGTGGCGTAGGTAAACACAACAGCAAGAAAGCTGTTATGTTGCCAGGGACTGTGCCCTCGTTTTTTCCCTGGCAACGTCTTGTCGCCACCACTAGTTCTTTTACTGCTGAAAGGGGAAGAGTTGTTTGCTGAAGCTAGAACCTGAATGTCTTTTGTGACATGAATGGTTTGCCCTTTGGCAGTCAGTCTGTGTGGCAGCCTGATTGTGCTGCGCTGTGGTGCTGCTGCTGATGTGAGCCAGCTGATGTGTGGGAGCAGGATGTGAGGATTTGGAAACCTCTGGTCACAGCCTGGCTTGTCAAAAGAGTAAAATCCTGGCTTAGCGGTGCATCCCACAAGTTTAACTCAAGTGTTTTGAAACTGGTTATCTAAAAGGATGTGTTTATTTGGACAACTCCAACTGCAAATCCAAAAGCCCACTACAGTTTTGGTTGCGTTCTCCTAATGACTGTCCTCGATCAATTATCTATTATTGAATAAAATCTTATGGTGAAGACCCATTGAATGCAGTGCAATGCCAAGATGGCACTTATTCAATATTCTATGCGATGTGAATTTTTTCCCTCAGAAAGCACTGTGGAATAACAGTCAATGTGAGACTATTGTAATGCAAAATATAAAGGAGGGGTTGAAAATTGAAAAAAATTCAATTGCCGTGGTGGAAAAGGAAGTTTAGTCTTTACCAGTGTGGTTAAATGTGTATGTTGAGGAGAAGATCATTATTGTAGTTTGTCTGATCCCTCTCTTCTATGTCCTTTGCTTTCAAATTTGAGATACAAACAAGAAGCACTGGTTGGCATGTCACATAAATGATTAGTAGAATCATAGGTTTCTTATTAACTAATGAACAAGCTACTCGCTAGTTTGCAAATACATAGTTACAGCTTTCAGTGAAAAGAGATGAAGACGAAGTTCCATGATTTTCTGGCCTCCAGTGAGTCTCCACCATGTAGCCTTTAAAGAGGAAACATTTATTTAGCTCATATAGTGTAGCTGCAATTTTTTAAGTATCCTAAATTTAAGTCACAGACTGTTGTCCAGTTTTTGGTTCAAAGTAGAGATGCACATTTTTAATTGTGCTCATGCAACGCTTACGATATATGGGAAGGGACAAGATGCCACTGATGAAGAAGCACTGCTTCCACACTAGCCATCCTTTCTTCTGGGTGAAGTGGTGAAGCAGTCACCTCCTGATGGGGTGAGAACTCGGTCCCCTTTTCCAAGGTGAGAGCAGCTGGGTCACTCCACTCCTGTCCACCTGCCTGCCTGGTTGATAGGAGGTTATTTTTCTAATCCAATTGAGTGCCCTTATGCTGCTTGATTGAAGTATTAAGTCACAACACACATGATTTAAAACGGGGTGGGAATTTAGCATGTCTCGTCACCAGTGCTGCAGCTGGTTCAGTCACAACCCCCCACAATTACACCTGTGTCCCCTCCCTTTTCCATAGCTTTTAACATAAATATACTATACATACACACACGTCTTCCCTCTTCAAATCCTGCTTCTTCTCAGCTGCTGCTGCTGCTGCTGCTGCTGCTGTCACAGGGTCCCGAGGATGGGGAGAATGTGTGACACCCATATAGATATGAGTGTCAAAGATAAGGAGCTGGAGGATGAGAGAGTAGCAGCACTGCCTCATAATGACAGATGATGGATCTCTCAAACTGGCTCAGTCACCACTGAATCTGCTTTCGTTTTATTTTCCTTTGTTCACGCTGTAGTAACATTAGCGTTAGACTTCCAGACTGGCATATAAAATGAACAAATGTGTTGCTTTTCCATTATGGATATTAGGGCTGGCCCCTACCAAAGACTTTCGTAGTCAACTAATTTTCATTATTTAAAGCCATTAGTCAACTAGTTGTGATATTAATTTAATTATTAAAATAAATAATTTTGGACATCATCAGAAAATGGTTTTAGTTCCAGGGCTGAGGAAGAATGTAAGTAACATTGTTACTACTGTGCTACATCACAGGGAAATACAAAACCGTCATAATGAGCCTTTAAAATTAAATTTTTATAAACACAAAGCAAGTTGTCTGTTCACAACACTGACAAAAGCAATAATGATTCTGAATGTGACAGAACAATCAGCAAGGAAACTGAATGATAGGTGAATGTTTACCTGAAGAATTTGCATGTCATCATACATGTAACAGCGGGGCCCAGCTGTCTAAGCGATATCTGTCCGTGACTGACTGAGTGACGGACTGTTGCCACTTCCTCAACTAACATTTGGTCGACTATCAGGAGGCAGCCCTAAGAGATATGCACAATCCTCTCTCATCATGATGCATCTAATTTACAGCAGCAGAGGACTTTCAGTGGAAGCTGTATTGGTGGTGGTGGTGGCAATGTGTGGCCACAATGCATTAAAATACTGTTAAAGTGTTTCCTGTGTGGATCATGAAATCTTGCCTTTACTGGGACACTACATGTAAAGTGTACGTGAAAGGGCCTAATAGAGGATAATCAGCTTTTAGCTGTTTCGTATTCAGACACAAGAGAAAGATATTCTATCTAACAATGGGCCAGTTCATTGTTCTCCCATTTGGATGGTTTTTGCTGTCTTTCTGGAGATGCAAGGTATAAACTATCAACTATTCTTGAGTTTAACATTTTGTTTTGGTTATAAGGGTGCATATTGTGTGTTCAAAAGTCATAGTCATGCCTAGTGTAAGTGCTTACTTTTTTATAGATTTACTGGGATTTATTTTCCATATTGTTATTATATCTGTAAAACAAAGATGACAAGGAATAATTTTTTTTATTTCAGAAAGTTGTCCGCATTAGATACAAAGAATACCAAGGTTTAACAGGGATTCATGAGTCTTTTTTCCTGTGGGCGCATATTAATCCACCGTCGCAGGTTATGGGCACAGTTCATTGGTTTAAGAGGAAAAAGCCTCATTTGATAGTGGCACAGTGCCTGACCCAGTTGATAGCATTTGCCATATTGTTTGGGTGTTGATTAATCCTAATGCAGCTTCAACAAAGCTGGCTGTGGCGTGAAAGTGGAGCAACAGAAAGGCCTGGTGCCAAAGCCAGAGTGTAGCACAAGTAATATGGAGCCGAAATCTCTCAAGTCCCCTGAGCCCATGCTCGACTGTAGAGATGGCCACAGGTTGTACACACATACACACACACACACACACACACACACACACACACACACACACACACACACACACACACACACACACACACACACACACACACACACACACACACACTCCCTCCTCCTCCTGCTTGTCTCTCTTTATCATGCGTTTCCTCCCAGATCTGATGTAGTGGTGGGAGGGTCAGGGGCAGAGGGTGCACAGGCATTATTAAGCCCACTTGAATTAACAGAACAGCCCCCAGCCTTTCCTCTAAAGCCTCCAGCTGGGGGGAGCTTAATCCCCATGGTCCCCTGTCTCGCCCATTAAACAAACTCCCCCCCACCCCTATTCCGTGGCTCTGCTGCAAACACACACACACACGCACACACACACACACACACACACACACAGACACACACGTGTGAGCAACAAGCCTAGCTGTGTGTGTTTGTTGGTGGGGGGCACTGGACATTAGCGCATGCACACGCACAGACACAGAAGAAAGCATGAGTGCGGCACACAACGCACAAACATACACCTTGGCTCTCCTCTCTGCTGGTAATTATTGCTCTAGTACATGCATATAAAGAAAAGAATTTTTCCCTTTCACCCATACATGAACAACAAAGACACACACACACACACACACACACACACACACACACACACACACACACACACACACACACACACACACACACACACATTCTTACCAGCCTCAAGGGTCTTATCTGCTTTTTGTATCTGGGGAACAAATTGAATGTGGGGCTTGACACACGCAGGCCAGCAGATGTCTGGGTCGTTAAGGTTAGGCCAGCTGATTAGCATGACAAACAGCCCCCCCCCCCTCTCTCCAAAACACTCCCACCCTGCAGGAGGCCCTGCTTTTGAGTAGTGGAGTTGAGGCCATGGGTCACAGGTGATGTTGATTTTTGTGGAGGGCCACAGTGGATGACTGTCAAAATGCTTTGGGGTTGGTTGAAAAGGAGGGGTGTAGACTG